CATCAAATCTGTTTTCCACACCCTGCAATAAGCTTGCAATAAACATCCCAGTCACACTGACAATCAACCGTTGAAATTAGAACTCAAAACCAAAGCCGGGAAAAAGATGTTGTCCAACGTCATCGCCTTTGCCGTCTTCTTCGTGGCCGTCTGCATGTACGGCGCGGTGCACAAGATCGAGGAAGGTAAGTTTGGACCAAATTCGAAATCGGCAATTTCTAAAACTCCTCCATCCTCTCTTTTCCATTTCAGGTCACGTCGGCGTCTACTACCGCGGCGGCGCCCTCCTCAAGGCCACCTCGCAGCCGGGCTTCCACATGATGGTGCCCCTCCTCACCTCCTTCCGCTCCATCCAGGTCACCCTGCAGACGGACGAGGTGAAGAACGTCCCCTGCGGAACCTCCGGCGGCGTCATGATCTACTTCGACCGCATCGAGGTAGTCAACATCCTCAACTCGGCCGCCGTGCACGACATTGTGCGGAACTTCACCGCCGACTACGACAAAGCGCTCATCTTCAACAAGGTCCACCACGAGTTGAATCAGTTCTGCAGCAGCCACTCGCTGCAGGAGGTGTACATTGAGCAGTTCGACCAGATCGACGAGAATCTGCGCACGGCGCTTCAGGCGGACCTCAATGAGTTTGCCCCCGGGCTTCGGGTCATTAGCGTTCGCGTGACGAAGCCGAAGATTCCGGAGAGCATTCGCAAGAACTACGAGATCATGGAGGGTAAGATCATCAACTTTTTAACAGTTCTAAAAGGCAAATCTAACTAAATTTTCTTTTCCCTTTACAGCCGAAAAGACCAAGCTGATGATCTCCGTCCAGCGACAGAAGGTCATTGAGAAGGACGCGGAGACGGAGCGGAAGAAGGCGGTGATCGAGGCGGAGAAAAACAGCCAGGTGGCGAAGATCATCAACGAGCAGAACATCATGGAGAAGGAGTCGCTGAAGACGATTAGCCACATTGAGGACGATATGATGGTAAGAATGCTGACAATTTTTTGTTCATTTCTAAAACCTAAAAACACTAACCACAAAACCTCTTTTTCTCCCCTTAAAATCAGTTCAACCGCGAGAAGATGACCGCCGACGCGGAGTACTATACCAAGGCGAAGGTGGCCCAGGCAAACGAGCTCCTCCTCACGCCGCAGTACCTCGAGCTGAAGCGGACCGAGGCGGTGGCCGCCAACGCCAAGGTCTACTTTGGCGCCAACATTCCCTCGATGTTCTACGCCTCAGAGGGCTCTTCGTCCGCTTCGAGTACTCCCTCAACCGAGCTCGAAAAGCACACCAAAATAGCGGAGATTGAGAAAAAGCTGGCGGCGATTGCCGCCGCCTCCAACCTCAACGCTGCTGCTCAGGCGGGCAACAAAAAGTAAACACTGCGAAGATTGTGATGAAGAGAGATATTAAATTCCAAGAGTTGACTATTCCGGTAAANAAAGCTGGCGGCGATTGCCGCCGCCTCCAACCTCAACGCTGCTGCTCAGGCGGGCAACAAAAAGTAAACACTGCGAAGATTGTGATGAAGAGAGATATTAAATTCCAAGAGTTGACTATTCCGGTAAAAGTTGACCATTTCTATTTTTTCAACAGTTTTACTGATCACGTTTTTTTGTTTGCTTTTCCTTTGCAGTTGATTATTCTTTCCGCTTCTTATTCTTCTCCCCCTCTTCTTCTTCATCATCATCAACTTATTATTCTGGCATCAAGATTCAAGAGCATAAACAAAAGCGCGCATACCATTCTTCAGCTTCTGCTACAAAATACCTTTACACAAACCAACGCTTAGACTCCTTTCATTCTTTGTATCTTTACTCCGAAATTATTAACCTCTCATTTCTCAAGACTGCCTTTCTCTTTTCAGCTTCTTTTCGCTAGCTTCTTATTCTCGAAAAACCCTGTACAGAAATCCCTTTCGCCTTTTCACACCGCCACTGTACAGCGCAACCAGCCGTAGTGAGATTATTTCTTCTTGTTGTTGACATGAACTTACACTGTACAAAAGACTGCTTCTATTCTTGTTCCCTTTCTTTGATTTCTCCTCCTTATCCTTATTCTACACTGCACATACACACACATTTAATAAACACAAAAAGCAATCATTCTCGCTCAGAGGTCAAAGGTGAGAAGAGCTGCTGCTGCTGCTGATGGAAGGCAAAAAGTGCACCGTAATTGTCGTTCCAGCGCCTCTCTCGCCGCTAGGCGGCAGATCATACGGTTTAAAGGGCTGGGGCGCTGGAGAGGTTATTCACAAACGTAGTTACTGTTTGCGCAAAAAAGAGAGGTGGTGCCAAGTGATTGTGTCGCAGCGCCCATTATCTTGGTAGCGCTGAAGAAAAAAATTACAATTTTTTTCACTCTTCTCTTTGTTTGGCTCTGTCAGTTTCAGTCTGCTTGAGCTTCTGAACTATAAAGTCTGGAGCAGTTCTTTTTCTTTTCTAAAGAAGTTTTTATATTTTCTGAAACAGTTTTTATCTCAATTGCAACTTCTCGTGACAACGCATGAGCTTGATTATTTCCGAAGCCAATTAAAAAAAGTGATCGTGAAGTGATTATCGAGGCCATCGAGGATCATCATCACCACCAGCACCAGAACAGGTACGTGTCATTGTCACAACAAACACTTTGTCTCGATCTCTAAATTTTATTTTATGGTTTCCACTTTTTATTGCCCTCTCT